GTATATTCTTATAGCTTAAACAATTCTAATTCCGCAAAAATTCAAATATGTATTTATAGCATATCAAGGAAATAATTACAGGAACCAAAAAATGTGGAACTGAAAAAAGCCTGGGATTTCGATTTTATTAAAATAAAGAATTCGATTTGCAGGAAAATAGCAGCACATACATAAAAGAAGAGAAATGCAGCAATGAAGTACTTTATAAAGAGTTTCGCAATTCGTTTTGTATTTACTTTTATTTGTATGCATTAAAATGTACATAAATCATTCGTTACAAGCTGAGTTTACTTACACTTAGAACACTAGCAATCGAGTATGTTTGAATGAATACGTTTAATAGTAAAATATAAATATGCAGGCATAATACATGTTTAAGCAATAACCTAAATGCGAGAGAGTTCATTTGCTGGCACTGTTGCACTCTGGCTAATTCACTTTGATAGCGGTCCGAATGCCAAGAGTGAAGGAAATGACTTCCCGCTCTGGTTGTTGTTCATTGAATTCGCGCTTCATTATTTTTCTTGACAAAAGATCATCGCCTTGATCGGTGGAAGTTAATGGATCTATATCTGAATCGCTTAGATCACGTTTTACTCGCACTGGCTCAACATCCTCATCATCGTCTAACTCAAAAATATTATTATTCGTTATCGCCAATTTGTTAATCTCATTAAAGAATTGGCTCTTCGCATCTCTAACTGTCCTGTCGTAACCCGGGTCGCTCAATGGTGGCAAATACGTTGCCGGGATGGGCGTTGAGCCCTTATAGGTATCTGGACAGCGGGGATCTACAGAGCCTGGATAACAATAAATAGGGGTTGTATCTGGAGACACAGTTGATGTTACTAAACTCTGTGAACAACGAATATCGGTTGATCCGGGATAACAGTTAGGTCTTGCTGTCGTCTTCGGTTCCTGGAGACAACGAGGGTCAGGTGAGCCTGGATAACATCTTGGCGTAGTTGTCGTTACAGGTGGACGTCGTGTAGTTGGAGGAAGGTAAGTCGCTGGCTGGCATGCGGGATCTGTCGATCCAGGCAGGCAACGGGGTATTTCTGTAGTTATGGGCTCACGTGGGCAACGAGGATCTCGTGATCCAGGATAACAATTAGGCGCTGTTGTCGTCTTTGGCTCTTGAGGACAACGAGGATCAGTTGAGCCTGGATAGCACCTTGGCTTCGTCGTAGTTATAGGTGGACTTCTTGTAGTTGGAGGCAGATACGTAGCTGGCTGGCAATCCGGATCTGTTGATCCAGGAGGACAGCGGGGCTTTTGTGTCGTTATGGGCTCCCGTGGGCAACGAGGATCTCGTGATCCAGGATAACAGTTCGGTGCAGATGTCGTCTTTGGCTCTTGAGGACAACGAGGATCAGTTGAGCCTGGATAGCACCTTGGCTTCGTCGTAGTTATAGGTGGACTTCTTGTAGTTGGAGGCAGATACGTAGCTGGCTGGCAATCCGGATCTGTTGATCCAGGAGGACAGCGGGGCTTTTGTGTCGTTATGGGCTC